AAAATGATAATCAATTGAAAAAAAAAAATATTCATAAGGATGTACTAGGGATCAAACATTTTAGAGATTTCTTACTTGAATAGTTTTAAAGAGCAAGACTTACTCATATAGATTTCTCTTTTCCATAAATTCAATGGCCGTAATAAGTGTTCAATCATAAAAGTTTTTAAGTTTATGGTAATGTGTGGACTACAGGAAGTGGTACTCTTTAAAAATGTGTAAACAATACTTGTTGTAGATTAACACAACCACTTTAACCAGCAATAATGGCAGTTTAAAATGTATTTTTTATTTATATTTTTTTCGCATCTTTATGTGTATGTGTTTTAATTTCATCTATCCGTTATCTCTACAGGTCATCTCTGTAACAAAAACTTTTATTTTGTTTCTGATAAAGGTTTTTTTTTAAGTCACGTTAGACGGTATAACCTTATCTTAAAAATAATGTTTTAAAATATTACAACGGCTGTTAAGGCCTAATGGAGTAGTTAAAAAAAATAAGACTATTATAGTAAATATATACATATATATATAAACTCAATTAAACGAAGTGCATTTTTTTCCAACAAAAGAATCTTGAATTTGTTTTGCCTCCAACAAGGGCTGTCACGTTTTAAGCATGTACTCGACCGTGAAACAATTAGCACCTTCTACGCCCAAACATTTTTATTTAATTGAGTAACAAAAGGGGGGAGGGGGCACTTTGTATACATTTTAATTTTTATTTTGAGTGAATCCGTGGCATATAATTGCTGTTTTTTTTTTTGTTGGCAAACTTAGTTTTATGATGTTTTCGTAAAATACTATATCCCTCTATCGGTTTCGGCCGCCGTTGTTCGAGCAATTGAAAACTTTATACATTAATCACCCAATAACCAATTATTATGTTTATATTTACCAAACGGTTATATTATTATTATTGTTCGGATCAAAAACATTACTTGGCTGAGGGAGAGAGCCACCGTTGTTTAATCATATTACATTGTTAGCCCTGACAAGTCGTCACCACCCCGTCCATTGTTATTTATTTTCCATTCGGAAATTGAACGTTGATTTGTGTAAGGTCGATAGGGTGGGGGGTAGTAGTGAAACTTCAAAACTGTGTAATTAAAAAAACTTTTGTTTCCAAAACAAAATTAAACCGTCAAAGACAGTTGTTACCACCAACATTTGTTAAAGGATTAACTATGGCCCGCATTTGATACATAATAATAACACAGATTAAATAAAACCAGATAGTGTACTCTACAAAAATCGAAAAATGTAAACAAACTTAAATAATCTCAAATCGGTGTGGCCAAACAATAAAAATAAAATAATCTTTCCGTTATACAATGTGGTCGTAATAATATTATTAAACATCTGTAATGTTATTACTTATCACCATCAATCACGAGTTAATCAACTACTTGTTAGATCAGTAATTCTTATCAGTTTACGTTATTATTGTGAACAGTGTGTACAAAATGTCTGCCCCTATAATTTGGCCCTTCTGCATAAGTTTGTACCAATCAAAAATTGTTATTTGAAAACCTTTTGTTTAGCTAAGAAGTGCACCATCTGGTTTTATTTAATCTGCGATAGTATCATTGTGAAAGGGGTGGCAGGCTGTAGTAATCGTTTCAGTTCAGTATCCAATGGTAGTTGGCTTGGAGGGGGTGGGGCTAGGTATTCGTTTTTGATTTTGACCAAATTGACAATGTTTTTATAGATAGTAATATTATTGTGTAAATACAATGATTTTGGCATGGTTTGAAATACCGTTTGGCGTTGTGTAGAGCACAATAATAGTATTTTAATTTTCGTGTATAAACACCATAAACCGATTCGTGTGTAATGCCGAACGTGAGAGATAAGTGACTGTTGTAGTAAACACATCATGCGAGGAGATTACTTGTCATTGCAAAATTGGACTATGCGAGGTCGGATCAACTGGATCAAAAAACAACATTATATTTTGATATAACAACAATATATTATATGCCCTATAGGAATATCAATGTTTTATACTGTGTTAACACAACGTGTACATAATTATATACATTATACGAAACGGGCGTAAGTACAAATCATAGTAAACGTATCATTTACTGATCAGTTTTATTAGGTGTTCTTTATTAGAATTATTTTGTATTTTAACCGATTAAACCGGATCAGAATTTCAAAACGAGTATTTACAACCGTAAAATTAAAAAAATTGGCTGGTAGAAGTGTATAATTAATTTTGAAATCGGTGGTCCGTGCTGGTGGCAAGTTTATATACTTAAAAATAATGTCTGTGCAAATATAATATAGCGCTGGACACATTAAAAAAAGAATACACTAAAAACCAGCACAAACAACATATAGTACATAATAATTTTATTTGATTTTAAGTAGTACACGTTTAGCGTTTTTATTTTATTTTTTTAATTGACTCTTGCAAATGGATCAGATATGTTCTTTGTTATTTATTAAAATATTGAGTTCCTTGAAGTCGAATAAAAAAATGTTGTTTTATTTTCCAAACTTTAGCAATTAACGATCAAATATGAAATAGATAAAAAAATCTTGGTTTTTGGTCTGCTAATGTTAAAAAATAAGTATTTTTTATTAAAACGAAAAAAACAAGGTGAACATTATTGCCCTGTTTAATAATTGGTTTTAATACTAAGGTCAGACTATGTTGTCTTGCACCATTTATGACATTTGAAATCATTTCAATGATATCATTAACGATAGGTAATCAATATAATAGCTTTAATAAATAATAAGACTTATGTGCAGCAGTGTGGTTTAAAACCGAATGCGTTTATTTTTCGGCTGTTCTACGCCTTATGTTTCAAATTTTTTTTTTTTTTTGCTTGGATTTAAATTTTTTTTAATTTTAATGACGTTAAGAATTTTGAGAACTCAATTGCTCCAATAAATTATGTAGCTGCTTTTTCTGTGTTAATAAACATCGAATGGATAATTTTAAACTACTTACAAAAAAAAAAAAAAACAGCCGGTCAACTGAGTCCGTCAGAGTTAAAACCGTATGAAAATATCTCCGAGCGCTTCCCGTGTACTTAAAAGGAGGCCTATTTGTTTGTCGTCGACCACGTCTAAAGAGATATTATTACCAGTTTCACGCCTAAGGCATACTTATCGGCATTAGTAATTTAAAAATAACTTTTGTGACTTGTCTTGGTTGAAAATAAAAACTGATAAATGTATATTACATAATAAGCTCCAACCTAAGGAAAACCAGCAGCCGAACTCGACGGATAATAATTTTGCCGTATTTTAATTTTTACTTTTGTAGATTGATTTTTATACTTGCATATTATTAGTACACTACAATGCAAGTGATTCACTATGGATAAGACGTTCGTTTTCTGTAAATAACAATTAGTGTCCACGATTAAAGAGTTTCGTTTATGTTATTTTACTATATATTAAACAATATTCAAGTTTTTATCCTTCTGCTTTTTAAATTAAGAATAATCTACTGCAATTATTATTTTTTTGAAAATTAGTGTCTTACCCTCAATGAATATAACCATTGTGTCCTAAGTGTGTGTTCTAAAAGAATAACTACAAAATTGTCATTATTACTTTAAGTGAAAAAGATTGTGTTGTCCTTCAGGGAACACCCTGTATACTATATTAAAGACGAACGGATATTCCGAGTGGCAAGTACACGGTTTCAACTTTTGAGAAATTTCATTAAACCATAGAAATACTCTTCATTAAACAGAAGTGTAGTGCGCACACCTGAGGGTCCTCTCTGAGGAAACCGACGGTTATGGTATAAACGTGCCTGCTACCGCCCCTCTTCCTTCCCCTTGCCTCGTTCCCCTTTCGATCCCGGTCCCGCAGGCTAATTTTGACGATGGTGGGGTTGAAGCCCCCCTCCCCTCGGTGGAAAAACAATGACAAAACCTATACGGCTATAGTATAGTGTAACGGTCGCCCAGCCGCATCATTAAATCTGATATGCGATTCAACCCCCTCTGCCGGGCCTATCACTGCGTTAATGGTATTATTTCGGTTTATCCTTAAAGTTTCAGAAGTACTTTATTTAAGAAAAAGATACAAAAGACCAGTCTTTCCATTTTAAAACAGAAATGGTAAAAAAATAAAAAATTTAAACCACACTCAGCAAATGTTTGGTACTTAACGAAAAATATATGTTTTAATGGGTTGGAGTTTATACTCACAAAAACTGGATCGGGTTAAAAAAAAATTAAGCTGGTTATTGTTAACTGTTTCGAATTCTGAATCGACAAAAACAAACTAAAAGTTGTAATTAATTATCAAAAAAAAGCGGTCTTATATTGTACTAAAACTGACGAATTAGGTACCAATTTTTAGATTATTTTCATAAACCAATTTTTTTTTATTGGTCATAATAAGACTTCTATTACAAAGATTATTAGCCTAAAGTACACATAAGTTAGAGAATTTTACAATTTGTTTATAGGTTTATTTTGCTTAAGAATTGGCAGGTAATTTTTGAGGTGTCCTTGCCTTTTCTAGCGTCGAATGAGTTTTAGAACGTGTTTCTTCATTTTGCTTTTGAGGGGAGGGGTGTATTTTTTGGACTCGAGACTTATCGTAAGTATAGCGTGGGCATATCTTATATCTAATCAAAAATGTATGCTTAGAAAAACTAATAACATGATCGCTTAACACATTTATTGGCCACTGTCTAAATAAAGGCATTAGTGATTTATACTGTGATAGGCAGTTTTTTTTCCTTTAGTTTTTACCATTTACAAACGATTTTCTCGCTTAGAGGAGACAAATAGATTCCTATTTCAACTGTTAGACCTGCGAATTTCTGACCATAACCGGCACTACACGGAACGCAATATTATTGTCTCCTGTCCCGAAAAAGGAACAACCGGGTTACCCTTGCCTTTGCCCCGTCGGGTAACTTCCACCCATAGGGTTAGATATTGTTTGTTCTCCTGGTGGCAAAAAACATTTAATTCAAATCCAATTAAAAAAAAGATTATCTTTTATGTCTGCAGGTCTCGGGAAATGAACACGGTGCCTTTGTCGCCAGCGTGGTCGTCGTGCTCGGAGCAGGAGCAAGAGCAGCAAGAGCAAGAGCAAGAGCAGCGTCTCATCTTCGGTTGGCAGCCGTCGTGGGACGATCGATTGAAACGCGACCACCGTCGACGACGTCCGTTTGGTCCGCCAAATTCGATGTCGGTCCGTTGACTGATACATATATATTTTTTTTTTTGACAAAAATATGTCCTGTTCATTGCCTATCCACCGAGGGAAAAAATAACGATTTTTTTTCGAGTGTCCAACACCGGCGACGAGACACCGATAAACATTTTTGTCGTTGACGTTGCACAACAACTGAACAACTGTTGTTGTTTTGAGCGTGTTCCGTCCGGTGTCCCCCCGTGGCAACAAACCACACCGCCGACCGCGCGCGTTCGGGCGGGCGGTCCGCCGGCACGCGGTCCCCGACGCGCACCTCGACGCAACAGCCACCGGCGGACGCGAACGCAGTTCAGTACGCGTCGTCCACAGTCCAGTCCACTGTCGTAAGGTGCACCGCGTGCGCGTATGGTGCGTGAGACCGACCTCGCGCACCATATGACCGTGTCCCGGCGTCGTACACGGGCGGTTTGTTTTTATTTTTTTCATAATATTATACCAGTACGACGATAGTTGTTAAACATTCGGTTTGTCACGCGTGTCCGGCGTACGGAAACGCGCAATCCGTTTGTTTTTTTGTTTGTTTATAAACAAGTGTTTAATATTATCTATACCTATATTTGATATGCATGTCGTCGACTGTTGTCGTTCCGGAAATGAAGTACAAAATCGTTTTGCTCGATAATTAACGTTCATGAACGCGTGGTCGGCCGCGTTGCTGTTGTGGTCGCTATCGGCGGCCGCTATGGCGCCGCCCCACTACGAAGAACAAGTGTGCGGCAGTCTGGAAATGAGGAACTCCGCGTCCCGCCTGAGGAGCCTGCAGAACTGCACCGTCGTGGACGGTCACGTGCAGATCGTCCTGCTGGACGCCACCAAGGCGGACGACTTCGGGACGTTCCCGGCGCTGCGAGAGATCACCCAGTATCTGCTTGTGTACCGCGTCAGCGGGCTGCTCAGTCTAGGCAAGCTGTTTCCAAACCTGATGCTTATACGGGGCTCCTACCACAACTCGGAATTCCCCGGACAGACGCTGATGGTGCACGACAACGCGGATCTCAAGGAAATCGGATTGTACAACCTGACCAACATCACGCAGGGTTCGGTTATAATCACAAAAAATCCTAGTGAGTACATATTAATAGAGTTAGACCTTATAATACAGAAATATTGGTTAATTATGACTCAGTCGACATTAGACGTTTAGCTTCGATGCGTTGCTGAAAACGGGTAGTCAATTTCAAGGTTGCTATGTGCGAGTCAATAGACAGTCAACAGATATTAGAAAATATTTTCATTATATTGTTAATTAAGACGTTAACTGTGGAAATAAATTATTATAGACAGACGATCAACCCTAGTCGTAACCATCTTAATTACAAGATACACTTTTAAGTACATTATTTTCATTAGGTACAATGATTTTATCGATTTTTGGATTTCTACAGGTTAGCTAGCATCGAAGCGGTTATTTGAAAGTGAATATGTTAGTTGTATTTATTCGTATAAGCCCTGTGACCTCCTCCGACACCACTGTGCCTTTTTTATTTATTATTTTTCATAGTTTCACAGTTATAAGCTATAACCCTTATTAACTTATGAGTTCAAGCCTCGTGAACTTGAGTTTTTCAAACGATAACGTATATATTATCTCAAATGTTTAAATTAAAAATAGTTTGTTGTTCATAGGGTTTTAACACATAAGGAGTGGGGTTTATATTTTTGAAAAATATATCAAATTTAGACTAACTAATAACTATAATCACCACCTTGTCTACAACAGAATATTAATTTTATCCCTCCCGTCGTGAGCAGTTTTTATTAGTTAGGCCGAACTCAAGCGTATACAACTTAAGTTCATACTTTTTGCATTACATTTCAAATACACACAATACTCGACTTGTGTTATATTATTTACTGTTTTAATTGCGAAACTGAGAAGATTATATTGGTTTTGCCGATGCTCGTTCAGAAATTATATCCAGTTGATATTCCCGCGGGACAAAGTTTGGAAAAACCTTCGCCGACCAAATATTGAGAAAACCGCCAAAAGAAATGCCAACTGAAAGTGTTTAAGCTTTAAATTAATAGGAAATTGTCTATTTCTAAGGGGTTATTTTTTTATTTATATATTTTCATTGTTTTACCGTTAAAAAGACCTGTTTTTGTTCCATCCAGTTTTCTATCCAATCTTATAGTAGTTTGTATACTTATGGTTTAAAAAAAAATTGATAACTTTTGTTTGAGACGTTTGGTGTGGCGAAAAGGTAGGCTATAAATAACTAGTGTAGAGGACTTTTAGGGATAAAATAAAACTATATACAAGTAATAAAACGTTTTACTTTTGATTAAAGGTTGATTTTCACCCTAGGCTTGGTCAACTGTTTGTTGAAAGTAAATAGACTTTATTACTTCTGGTTCCTCAAAACTATCGCCGTTGTTTGTCTTCGGTCGTCCTATGCCCTGTGGTCATACTAATAATAATTGCGCTTATTGTGTGGGACATCCGACATTCAAATTGAGCTTGAATTAATCATAAGGTACGTGAAGAAAATAAAAAAGGCCTATTTTTCCGATAGGTCACTCTGTGTTAAAGTAAAAAAAAAACACAATTCTTGTATGTTATTGTTGAAGTTTTCCAAACGAGATGAAGCATATTTTCATTTTTTTTTTTGGTTTCCAAAATATTCTTTAAGACTGAGTGGAATCAAAAAAAAAAATACATCATAATAACGCAGCTATTCTTCTCGACTGTATTTTACACTACTTTTTTCAATCTTCAATATTTTATTATACAATAATCGATTACCCGAGGTAGGTATTTGTTATTTTTTGACACTTAAGAAATAAGCCGTCGTGATATGCCTCGAAAGATTTGTTTTTTTTTTTTTTTTACGAACTGCCCTTAAGATTTCCACTTTTGACAACATCATAATACAGAGAAGCGGTGCTATGCACAAAAACCACAATAGGTTTATGCGGGATTCCCGCCGTCAACAGAGGTACCCCCTTCATAGTTCACCACCCGCCCGTCAAAAATCTATGACGACATGGGTACCTCTGTTGACGGCAGTAATCTCGCATAAAACCTATTGCCGTTCTTGTCTACAGGGTGATTCATTAAGGATTAGACACCGATTTCTGCTTAAATCAATTGCAATGTTGAAGTTTTTCTTTTTGAAAACATATTTGTTTATTTTATTTTACACTATTAAAAAATTACTTTAATACTTATCTATTTTAGTGTTACTTTTAAGTTATTAAACGCGCCCACATGTTGTCCTAAGTTTTAAACATTAGTAACTCTATAAGTAATTGGGCCCCGTCAAACTTTTGTTCACTTTAAGTAAATCTTCTTCTTTTTTTTTCCAAGAAGTAAGGAAAAAATTAATATTTTCTGTACTCGTTTGTGAGATGAACAATAATTACAACAATTTCTGCAACAACTACTAAACTAGACTACATTTTGATAGGAACTTCAAATTAAACTTTTTACTATAATATTTTAAATTTTAAACACTTAAAGCTCATATTGCTCTATAGTGATAATTTTCTTGTTATAAACTTATCGTGGTTTTCATAACAAAAAAATAATAATTTGCTGATATTTTAAATTATAAAACCGATATTTTTTTATGGATATGACATAGGTACGATGTAAACAGTTTGTTTTATTTTACGGATGATTTGTTCAAAATGATCATCCAAAGTGTACCGTGTAGTAGCTACGATAGCAATTTACCAAAGAGCAATTGGATTAGTGGAGCATATCAATGAATGTTTTGTCCACTTTCTCTATACACTACAATAGCGTGCGTACCATTTATTTAGAGTTGTCAATGTATAACTATGGCGATGATCCTTTAATTACTTAACTTTTTGGATATCGTCCTATTTATAATATCGTTATATGTTATTGGGGTTCGAAGAATGTACAGTAAGTTTCCAAGTCTCAGCATACACACAGTACTGCATACCGTCCAATCAACGAATAATACAACTGACCGTATTTTTTTAATATTACCGAACACTTTGTTTTTTATATTATTATCTTTAGGTATCTTCCCATATACATGATATTACGTTAGGGAACTCCAATGGCGACCGCCCGCAGCAGGACTTTTTTACGACCGTTCATTGGTAACGTCGGTACAATTTATTTGCCGTATTGTACTTACCTAAGTTTGGTCAGGCCGTTTTTTATTTCTTAGCAAAAAAAAAAAATAGTATTGAGCGTAGTTTGTTTTGCTAAAAGAAAATATACCGTTTATCCGTTTATTAGCACATTTTTCTTTTGTTAGAATTGAAAAAATATAAACCTTTTTTCTCTAGGTACCTTATGGGAATGGCACCGCACTGTTTGCACGTATTACAATTTACACTAAAGCAAATACAAAATAAAATTATTAAAAACATTTTGAATACAGAATTTAAGTTTAATTTATCTACATTATACCGTTTCAATAAGTAAACAGCAATATCATTTACATTTTATAGGATTCGGTAACGCTGAATCCAAATCTGGCCAAAGATTGGTCGATTGAAGATTGTTGATTGTCGACTGGTTGTAATAAAAAATCACCACCAACGTTGTAAACAACCTACAAAATTGGGAAAATGAAACAATTCGAATTTGTATTTGTGTAAAAAAAAAAAATACAAATTATACAACAATTTTCTGACCAGTTATAAATTTAGGAAAGAAAATAGAATAGAAAACACAGATTACAATTAATTTTAGACAATTTGTCAAATGCACCGACCACCCTGAACAGGTGTTTTTTTTTCAAAATTTGAGACCATTAAAAAATTAACTAGACAGGCTAGACAAAATGATGAGAGCCAAATTCGGATTTAGTAAAAAAATCGTATCAAAAATCTAAAAAGGTCATCCCTTCTCTTTTTATTTTCAAACTTTTTTAAAAATATTCTTATTCGTTCCAAATTTGTATGGAATATGCTAACATTTGTGGTCTTGTGATATTGAATGGAACCACAACGTATACAAATTTCTCAAAAGTCGGTGGTCAATTTTTTTTTAAGAAACCCTGTAAAAAGGGGGTAATTTACACTTTGACCGTAGTGAATTTCTAGGTTGCAATGTGTGAGGTGAACCAATAGTCAACAGGTAACTGAAAAGTAGTTGCTTATATGTGATTTTATCACATTCTGTTTTAATAATAATAATACCTGTAGACGTGTGACTTCCCCCGCCGCCCTCCCCCCTATACTGTTTTTTTTTAAAAAATTTAAATTGTTTGTATGTTTTTTTGTTTTGTAGATTTGTGTCATGCGACCACAATCGATTGGGGCCAAATCACGAACGGGGTCAGCAACGACGACAACATAATTAGCGGTAACGATGTGCAGGACCATTGTACAGGGTGCTCGGAAACCGGATGCGCCGAGGGCAAGTGCTGGTCGCATAAACCGCAAGTACACTGTCAGCACGGTAAACTCAAAGACTGTCATCCCCTGTGCGCCGGGGGATGTTATCAACCCCATTCTTCCAAACACTGTTACGTTTGTGCCGCGTACGTTCACAACGGCGATTGCATCCGAGACTGTCCTCCGGGCCTGTAAGTATAGAACGTTATAAATACTTAGGGTGCGCGATTGTTCAAAGTTTGAGTAATTATCAACGGATAAAATGGATTAGTCCTATTCAAAAATATGACTATTTATTAAAAAAAAACCGAGTAACATAAATAGTGAAAATTATCTATTTTTTGTTTTTTATTTATTTATATTAATTTTCACCTGAATGTTGCTGGTAGGTGTATTTTTTTTTTTTTATCAAATCTATACAAAAATGTGTACATTAAATTATTTTCTAAATTATATTAAAAGCTTGAATATCTTGAAAATGAAGCTACTCATTAATAAAACCTCTATATGTAAAGTTAAATTATGTTATTAAGTTGTTTTTTTATGTTAATAGGTCTCTATTCCAGTTACGTTTTAGTCTGCGTGGGGGGTTACCGGGGATACTGGTCGTGTGCATACGTTTAATTAGCGGATTTGAGTTTAAATTGAGTTTTAAGTGGAATCTGAAGTAATGTGATTTGGCAAGTTCTTTAACGGTATCTATTTGTTAAACTCTATCAAATGCTGGTGTAAGTTTGCGCACATTTTGTGCCTGTAAAATTGTGTCCGAATGGTTTTTCATTTCCAGTGGGGCGTGTTTGGTTTTTTGACTGTCGGAACATTTGGCAAATTAATTTTTCTCTTGTACTTCCAAATGGACCAGTTAAAATAAATAATGTTTTTATTTTTCTACAGATACGGCCATATCAGGACGTGTTTGACGGAAGAACAATGTAGAAGATACATGTTGGTGGATACCGAGGAATCGACAAACAGTAAGACCTATATTCCATTAAAGGGATTATGTCTGGCGGAGTGTCCGTACGGGTTCGAGTACTATTCCGACCAGTTCAACAAGTCCAACTGTAGACCGTGTATGAGGACGGCGGCCGGTAGCTGTCTGCGCGATTGCAAAGCTTTCCGGATCACCGAAGACATGATCCTAGGCAAGAGCCAGACGTATCGGTCGTACATCAACTGCACCACCGTCGATTCGTTGGATATCGAAATCAAGTACGGCACCAGTGAAGTAGTGGAACGCCGGCTTGAGGAGATCGTAGGCAAGGTCGAGGTAATTTTAGCTCAACTGAAGATCACCCGGTCGTACTCGCTCAACTCGTTGAACTTCCTGCGGAACCTGAGGGAAATCCGGGGCCAGACCACCGGCAACAACGTGTCGCTGGTGGTGCACGGCAACAAAAACCTCAAGGAACTGTGGTCCTGGGACCAGCGGTTCTACAAAAAGAACCTGACCATACTGAACGGTTCGGTGTCGTTCCATTACAACCCCAAGCTGTGCTACAACGTGATCCGCGAGTTCGGAGACACCGTCAAGTTGCCGGCGTTCACCGATATTGAAGTGTCGTCCGCGTCCAACGGCGACCAATACGCGTGCTACGTGACCGAATTGAAAGTGGACACGGTTAAGATCAACTCGCAGTCCATCATCTTGCGCATGCACAGGGTGCAAGACACGGACCAGCTGGAGAGGTTCCTGGTGTATTTCATCGAGGCTTCCAAGTGGAACGAACGCGAGGAGACCAACGAGTGTGAGGACAACAGTTGGAAAATCGACGACATTAGCTCAAAGCGGTCGTACAACGAAACGTACATCGACCACGTGATAACAAGTCTCGAGCCCAACACCGAGTACTACTACTACGTCAAGACCTACACGATCGCATCGAAAACGAGCAAGAGTAGTTTATTTAGGAACAAAACTTTGCCGTCCAAACCGTCGGCCCCTCAGAACTTCACCGCCCTGACCATATCCAGTTCTCAGGTGGAATTGTCGTGGAAACCGCCGTCGCACCCGCACGGCAAGCTTGTCAAGTACACCATCAAAGGGTTCTTGTTGAAGGACGACAGGGCTATTCTGGACCAACGCGACTATTGTGTGAACAAGACCAAGGGTGAAAACGACAACAAGGACAGTTTGTACAGACCGCAAACCGTGAACAACAAACCGCCCGACGTCTTCGAGCAGCCGGCGTGCCAGTGTGAATCTCAAAAACCCGTCGCCAACTACAACAACAACAACGACGTGTGTAGCATGTTCGAGCACGGGCTGACCACGGACATAAACGTTTTGAACGGCCGCAAGAATCTGTTCGAGACGTGCAGCAACTTCCTGAACGTTTTCATCGACGCCAAGTGCTTTGCGCTGCAGTACATGGACGAGACGGAATTCCCAAACGACGCCAACAAAAACTGCAAAGAGGAATGGTCCATCAGCAACGCGTTGAGAAACGAAACGCAAAAGGACAACAGCCTGGTGCACTTCGCGTACGATCTCGACGAAAACGTCACGTCCTACCAGTTGGACGGGCTCAGCCACTACAGCCAGTACATATTGTCTATAATGGTGTGCAGGGAGATCGTCGACCAGGAACGCGGTGAAACCGACGAGAGCGACTCTTGCAGTCACGAGACGTTGTTGTCATTCCGAACCGAGAAAAACATAAAAGCCGACGTCATAGACGACAGCTCCGTCCAACACGCTGTCAGCAACCGCACGGTTACCATATCGTGGCGAGAACCACAGCTCGTCAACAGCATAGTGCACAGCTTCCTTTTAGAGTACACGCGTATCAACCCGGCCGACGAGCAGTCCGCTACCATGACGTGCATCACCATGAAAGAGTTTGAACGCGGTGGCAAGTCGTATGCCTTGAGAAATCTGTCGCCGGGCGACTACCAGTTCAAGATCCGAGCTCAGTCGTTGGCCGGCCAAGGGCCTGCCACCGGTTACAAACAGTTCGTTATCGAAGACGAATCGATCTTCAGCATGTACGTTGTGCTGATAGTCGTGATATTCCTGACGTTGGCGCTCGCTTTCGTCACGTTCCTCTTGCGAACTTACTTCAACCAAAAGCTGTTACAACGGAACAGTCTGTACAATTTGGCCAACAACCCCGGATACGTGGGCATCTACGTGGAGGACGAATGGGAGTTGGTCAGGGAAAACGTGCAGATCGTCAAGGTGTTGGGCAGAGGCACGTTCGGTACGGTGCACGAGGGCATACTGTTGCCCCAGAACGAGCCGTGCGCCGTCAAGTCCGTGAGCAAGACCAACTTTTTGAAGTATCACGCCGAGTTTCTCAACGAAGCGTCCATTATGAAAAAGTTCAGCGAGGCATACCACATAGTCAAGCTGTTGGGCGTGGTCACCAAGAGCTATCCGCCCTTGCTGGTCATGGAACTGATGGGCCGCGGAGACCTCAAGAGCGTACTGGTCTCGTCCAGGGACAACGGCGATCCGCCTCCACCGTCCAGGTAAATAAAACGGGTTTGACATAATGTCTTAAGGCTGGGGGTCTGTCGAAGATTTTCGACATTAATTTCCCGATAGTGATAAGAAACAGCTGATTACGGGTGTTGACAAGAAGCAAGTGTTAAAGGGATCAGTGATCAAAGACAGTCGATAATGGCTCATGATAAGAGATCAGTGAAATGCAGACTCCAGAAATCAAGGGGAGGGTAGGAGATTGTAAATAGAAGGTGGGGAGGAAATGAACATGAACTCTGTTATAGGTACCATGAGACATATTCTTGGTCCAATTGTTTTTCTTCAAGAGGAGAACTAATGCATTTTAGGCTAGGTCCTTAGCCACTAGTCCAAAATCCTCCTTATCCGTATTTTTTTAAATCATTCATTGTTTCTAGGTACACCACCATTCGCATGGCGGCGCAAATAGCTGACGGTATGGCGTTCCTAGAGTACAACAAATTTATTCACCGTGACTTGGCCGCAAGGAACTGCATGGTGGCCACCGACTTAACGGTGAAAATTGGCGATTTCGGCATGAGTCGTCAGATCTTTGCGGGCAACTATTACCGCAAAGGCAACAAAGGCGAAATGCCCATACGGTGGATGGCGCCCGAGAGCATGGCCGAGGGGCTGTTCACCAGTCAGTCGGACGTCTGGAGCTACGGTGTGGTGCTCTGGGAGATGCTGACGCTCGGTGAACAACCGTACAAGGGCAAGAGCAATAACGACGTAATGGCCTATGTACTCGACGGCAACATGTTGGACCTGCCGATATTCTGTCCGGACGTCCTCGCCGGCATAATGAAGTCGTGCTGGAGTTGGACGTCTGTCCAACGACCGAGGTTCCTACAAATCATCGAAACACTAGACGCCTTTTTGGATAAAGATTTCAAGTAAATAAATCACTCGTACAATTGAATCGGTCATTTCAAAAACGACTGTCAAATTTGATAATTATATACTTAGTTACATATTCTGTGTGAAAACTAAATTTGTCAGACTCATATTTAATACAAATGTTGAGTACAAGAAATTAGAATCACTGCAAAAACAAGTTATGATGTTATGAAGTTTTTTTGTGGCTACTTTAAAATTTCAATTTTGTGACTTATGTCGTTTTTGAAATGACCGATTCAATTTATTAAGTCCGTTTTTTTTATTCAATGATAATGAAATTCGAATATGTTGTATTTTTTGTTTTTCTTTTTTTTAGGAAAGTTTCATTTTATCATAATCGTAGTGCCGATTCGTCGATTGCTGAATATTCCATCATGTCTCCGACGACTACGTGCGAAGATAACGTGGACGCCGACAGCGTCCACTTGGACCAAGGCGAGACCGGAGGCGTTTATAGTAGATTTCAAGTGGACCAAAACAACATTAGTAACGGACATTTGTCGTCGATATGATAACTCTCTATGACGGGACACATGAAAGTGAAATTCAATGTTACCATTTAAGTCTTTAATATTATTTTAAAAAAATATAGGTTTCTTTGTTCTTATTTTATTTTAGCGTTCCATTTACCGTTTACTTTTTAATATTTAAATAATATTATTTTTGTTGTTAAATTTTTAATGTGAAATATTTGAATGTTGTAATTTTATCAAAAAAATTAAGTGATTTCCTTTTTTTTCATACCACCTATTTTGTATACACATATTGTTCTAGTATCTAGTCAGCGTGTGGATGTTACATTTCGCTTCACCGTCTGTTTTTTTTTTTTTTTAATTTTATTTCTATACTATTATTATTATTTGTTTTTTTTTCTGTACAACATGTTATTTTCATACTTTGATAAAAAGTGTTTCAAGTAAACACACATTGATTGAAGATTATTCAGCCCCATCGGGTTAAATATATTTTACTGTTTTACGCTTTTTCTGTTAAGTATGTAAGCCATGTACAAAATCATTGCGAAGAAGTTACTACATTACTAAATCAGTGTTGATTATGATAATAATATATATTTGTATTTACAACTATTTTGTAAAATAATCTTATACCAGTGACAAGAGCTTTGTAAAAATTAAAATTAAATAATAATAATATGTATTCTATGTTTACGGTAATGTTAAAAATGCCAATTCCAAACATTGTATGTATTTAACGTAAAAATACAAAGGTAAATTATATATTATTTGTATTTGATGTTATAAAGAATTTTTTTTCACACAAATTGTACGATTTGTTTAAAACATTTTATAACAAATTTGATTTTTTTCATCGATGGAAAATATAATCAAACAAGATAATAATACTCTTGTTTATTATTATTATTATCTTTTTTTTGTTATTATTTTTTTTTTATCGTATAACATTTCGGTTGTATCAATATTTTTGTTCACAACAATATTTTCTAGTCCTATAAAACCAATTTGACCTTTCATTTTCTTGTTGTAGCTTGGAAATATACATTTTTATACCAACTTTTTCGACGTTCAAGTACGTTTAATGTATTTATTGTATTTTAACATATGAATTATTATTGTTGACTGAACGATTTGGGTTTTCAAATAACAGTTGAAAATTTCATATTGTACTTTTTCTATATTTACATTTTTTTTTACACAGTTTTATTTCGTCCAACAAGCTGGATAGCGGTCTATGAACGAATACTCCAAGTTTTGAATAAACATAACGGCTTTTGTAAATTGTGTAGATTTTTAATTTATCAAACTGTTAACTGAAGTACAAACTAATGTAGAAAAACGTGTTGAGCATTTTATAAAAAGAAAAAAAATTTAAACGCTGTTATCGAGAAAATTGTATTTACAGCAATATTGTCTGTTGCTATTATTCATAAAATATGTTATATTCCATTTCCCTTTAATGTCGTGTTATTGAGAATATCTTAATCATGTAAAATTTTTACTTGTTTAAACTGTTAAAATGTTTAAATAAAAAATTGTACGATTCATATTTTGCGTTAATTAATAAACAACTAGCACCAATAAAAAAATATCTATTTAAATAGGTTAATCTTATTAATCAATACTATATTTAATACATTATGTTAGCTTTTTTTTTTTTATAATATACAAATATCATAATTAGTTTTACCATATAAATGGCAATGTATTATCGTTTTTTTTCTACTTAAATTACAAACAATTTATTGACATTTTCATGTCTTAGCTCTGGCACATAACTGAAAAAAGTGTTAACAAAAAAGCCTTATCACACGGAGATGGGGTTGGAAATGGAAATGAGGATATGAGATAGGGATTGGTGATAGGGGGTAGAAGATAGGGGGTGAGAGATATGTTGTACTTTCAACGTTCAAATTAGAACTAAATGATAAATTCAAAATAGTTTAAGGGCCCAAATTCTCTATGAATTGTTTTAAGACAGATATTAAACACTACAATATTAGCCAGAAATTTGATGTTTTAATATACTATATAATTATCTATAATTCCACCACTACTCTAAATTTATTCGATACTTGAACGAGACATGAAAATGCTCTTTCGTGATTGCAGACTCGGCTGAATTTTTTTATAGAGGTAAAACAGCTCGAAAGATAAAATAGGCTAAAAATATTTGTAGATTGACTACTCTGTTTTTAATGTCTGCAATCTGATGTATTATTTTCGATTTTAAATTCCTATTAAATTTGTGGTTACCAGTAGAAATGTAAAAACCCTAAAAAAAAAGTTTTGTATTTTAGAATATTAGTATTTTATTCAGTCATAAGCTAAATTATCGTTTAAGAATCTACCATACTTATGGTTTACTGAATAAAGAATAATGCAGACAGATAAAAAAACAGCATAATATTTTGACAATTTATTGGATTAAACTAAAATTTAAAAGCGGCCAAGTAGTCTTACAGATATTTTTTAATTTGTTAGGACAAAAAATGTATGCATAATATTGTAAAAAAAAATGACAACGCATATATTCAGTTACATAAAGCTAAATGTATGAATAGAACCAAGAAAGTAATTCAATTTTCTATTTACCGTTAAGTGTCCATTTCCATATTTTATGAAATTTCTACATTTTATAAAATTTGTATATAATATTATAGAATTTCTATATTTTATAAAATTTCTAAATACTATGAAATTTCTATATTTACTATAAAATTTCCATATTTTTTAAAATGTCTATATTATATTATAGAATTTCCATTTTTAATAAAATTTCTACATTTTATGAAACTTCTATATTTTATTATAAAATTTTCATTTTTAATAGCCATTTGTTAGCCGCTGATAATATAGGTCTTTCGATCTACCTGTCATGACGGTGTGTCTGAAAAGTCGGTTATCTGTAAATATGAATCGCTGTTCAACTAAAGTATCATAAAACATTTTATTGTGTTTAGTTATCTGTGTACTCACCTATTGGACAATGCGATCATAATTAGGTATTTTATTGGCTCCCGGTCTTTGGAAAACCAAAGAAATATAACAATATTTAAGAGAAAATATAATATCTTTACCAAGTCATAGCTCACGGCTAGATGGATGAAAATAATAAATTCAAACGATAACATATTTAAAAATTGTTTTTCCTACAAATGAATGAATTAAAAACATATGTTGCCGTTTGAAAACGTGAACTTAGACCCTTTTTATTGTATAAAGGATGGAGATAAAAATTTTCAAAGTATTGAAAAATATAGTAAAACTTATACCTAAAAGAATAGGAAAAAAATAATTTTCAAAATATTCATATTTTCCGAGAAAATTAGTGTCCCACATTAGTTGGATCATCCTGTATATGATTGCATGCATATTCTTAGTTGAAGCTTTTATTCAAATGTCATTTAACAAAAAAAAAAAATTATATTATTTTTATTCCTATGTAAGTACAACAATACAAGATACAAATCTAATAAAGGTTAATAGATACAACGATTACACGAGAGTCATCGACAGAAAATAATCACCATATAATTTTGACATAGTACTGTGTATAGATATTAAAAAAAAAAAAGTAAGTTTTTAGCTTTTTATAAATAGTGTTGGGTTACAAACTCTTTCAGACTGAGGCCGGGTGATCATAGACATTCATTTGCCAAAGAAACGCAATCTCAAGTTAAGACAAGAGAATGTTATTAGAATCGTACAAATCGTTATTATTTATTTATTAAAAGTTAAAAATGATTTGCACATTTCCGTTTAAACACAAGTACAGGGTATTCAACATTAACACGATATATATTATAGTACATGAAACACTTAAGTAGTATACAATAGTCGGGCAAAATAAATTGACCAGATGTAAACATGTTAAGTATATTATTATAATAAATTTAATATAATACTTGTTCCGTGAAAATTTTAGTTATTAGTTCAAGTTAGGTATACAATAATATGCAACCTCAGTGATTGTGCTCAGTTTACGCTGTAAGGAAAGTATGTTGTTGAATTCAATTACGAAAAAAAAAAAGTTAAATGACTTCTAGAAGTTATATATAATTTACCACGGTCAGGCCAAGAATATATTTTTTTACTGTTCAACAACAATTTACATCATATTTCCATCGTGCTAAACGTATATTCAAACCAATTCTAAATATATTTTATACACAATATAGGGAATCAAAGGATATAGTTTCTACCGTATGTCATAAGTTACAACTTCTAGGTTATATCTAAACAGTAATACGTCTATTTTAATAAATCGTGTACAGGATATAGTATAATGTATATTATAATTAAAAAACTTTATGGTATATATCGTATTATCACAAATCAATAGCACGCTCCAATCATATATAATATCTCGTCTTGCACATAAAAATATATTGTATAGTTTATAATAATAGTAATATTATCGTTAAATGGGGAACGGCGAAGGAGAAAAAGAGGAGGTTCGGGATCAACAGGAGGTTCGGTGTAAGGGGAGGATTAAAGGAATTCGTCGGTTTCTGATATTATAAGCGTGTAGACTTGTTGAACAAGTCCAAAACACTTATGTATATTCTGAAATGTTGTCGGTTTTTTTTTTAATATTTCGCGTTATCGCCGTCTTCGATGCCGGACGTCTTGACTGATCGTTTAACCGATCCAGTGTCGTTTTTCTTCGGTTTTTCCTTGCCGTCGCCCAGTGCAGTATTCCTTCGAACTTTCGGCTCGTTCTTCTTTTGTACCTCGTTGGCGTCTACAAAGTGTTGTTAAAAAAGAAAATCTAGTTATTGTCTCCGCTCCACGGAAAAGAACATTAAACCATGGATATGTTATCTCTTATTACTTATCTTTTTCTCTTATAATTTATCTGTAATTACTATCTCTCATAATTTATCACTTATCTCCACGGATTGATAAGTGTACATGCCGCCAATAGAGATAATTGAAGTTACCATTTTACGCCATCTTTGTGGGAATTAGAACTTTATCACTTGTTTATAAGTGTTATCACCGCTTATAACAATTAAAAGTTATGTTGACAACGCAGAATCACAGATATATTATATATATATATATCGACGTTGGCCATTTTATGAGATTTATTAGTGTATAAAATAATACACTAATATATATATATATATAAATATTCTTATCACTAGTTAGTAATCTAGTTTAGCTTTACACAGTTTATCTGTGCTTATCTCTATTATCTTATCTCTTATTACGTGAAATGGTTAGTGTAACGTGAAAGTAATGACATGAAATTTCTTGTATCCAGTCCAATAACTTATCCATGTAAAATGTACTCATAAGATCGGTCGACCTCCGCATTAAGTCGAACACCACCTATATACTTACTGAGATTCGGGTAAGCGTCCAAGTATTTACTGAATCCTTGTTTGGCGGCATCCATCAATTCCGGGTGCTCGTTCAACGTATCCGACAACGACATTATTAGTAGTTCTGTTAAAAATCAAACCCAAACATTATCATCAGTCATATTAATTTTTGCCGTCCAAAGTCTTATCTTACCCAGTATTTTCTTTTCCAGCACTCTGGATATTCGTCCTCGACTCGCTTCCGTCTCCAAAAAGTCGGTGAATTTTTGCAAAGACTCTTGTGCTTCCGATCCACCTGAAACGTATAAACGCTTAGCAATAGTATTATTGATTCGCTAAACAGGCGAAGAGCGCTCCTCCACGCCAACTTCAGTTGCAATAATCCCTCCCTATGAAACTCAATTATATCGGTGTGAATGTGTGATATGTGAAATATTGAAGTTCCTATGAATACACCTATTGGACGAAGGGAATAAGTATTTTAACGACCTTGCAGCCGGGGTATTCCGGGGTAAGAACGCATTGAATTTCCAGTCCGATATTATTATATTATTGCGGTCGAATTGCTGCGGAATACAACTATAAGAGACCACCGGATCTTACCATATTATGTCAGACAAGTGATCGAATACCATCGATGTTCTATGCCGACATAGGTAAAGGTGCCCTTTACTACGTTCATTATTATTATTTTAAGAGCACTTGCACGACTCCATTTTTATCAAATATGTAAGGCGTTGTGCTCAATGTTCAACTTGTTTGTTTGACGTTTATCGATTGCCGGATATGCCGAACACGATAAACATCCGAACACAATAAATATAAGGTACAAGGTATATAGCAATTTAAAACACAAGACGTTCAAAATGTAATCATAAGCTCAATCAAACAGCGCATTATTACCACAGAATAAATAAAACCAGATAGTGCACTCGATAGTAAAACAATCGATAGGAAATGATACGAAATATTAATAAAAATTAGTTGATTAACACAGATATATAATGTAATAAACTAGATTGCTAAGTATACATGCCGCCAATAGAAATAATCGAAGTTGCCATTTTCCGTCTTCATTGGGGGAATTAGAACATTATCACATGAAAATATGTTTAAAACAATTAGAAGTTAAGTTGATAACACAAAATCACAGTTATATATAAATTACTGTCTAGTGTATGCACACATTAATCACACGAAAATAGAGGACGTCGACTTCCATTGTTATCACTAGTTAGCAATCTACTTTTTTATATACAACTGTGACCTGTGTTGATTAACGACGGTTGGCGGTGATAACATTATGGATGTTTGGTACAATTTCTTTGACCTTACTGTATAACAGAAGTACATATGTTTTTATTGTTTAGTCACACTGCCCTGAGATTATTAAAGTTTGTTTAGATTTTTTTGGTTTTTCTTAGAGTACACTATCTAGTTTTATATTGTAATCTGTGTTATTACTTTTGTTGTTGTTGTTTTTTTTTTTTTTTTTTTATAATATTATATTATTAGTTTATCGTGCATAAAGTAAAGTATGAGGCGTTTCGATTTAGTCGACTCACCTATATAGAGGGCTTGATTGAACATGACTTTGGCCAGCTGATAGATAATCTCGTCCATCATGTTTTGGGCGTACGCGAAATCGGCCGACGACAGCGTTTCCAGCAGTTGTTGGTATTGAGAATCGGTCAGGTGCATTTTGTCTTCCAACACTTTTCTGAAACCTGCGAAGAAAAAATTAAAAATGTCTTAGACAATGGCTTTTTTTGACGAGCGAAAATGATAAATATGGCGTACGGTCGAGCCGCATGGAATCCTCGTCTTCTTCGTAAACTACTTTGTCGCGCTTAGCGAATTTCTCTCTGAGTATCTGTTGCATTTCTTTGAGTTCGGCCGAAGTCCCGTCCACGATGTCGTTGAAGTCGGTCGAATCGTAATTTTTGTGGTACGCGATCGGTCTTTCCTGGTGTGAACAAATAATATTAATAATAATTTAATGAAGAAAAAAAAATCACATTGAACCGGTCTAGTTATTTCACTTCACAGAGAGATTTTCCGTGCAGTTCATTTAACTATTTCCCGCTCCGTATATCTGTTAGTGCAATAAGAGTTATTTTACAATTTTATTCGACTTCAATAGGAAAAAAATAAAAAACAACCTTTCCGCAACTTCAAATTAATCGCCATGCCAGTATCAGACCACGATTAATTGTGAAATCGCAAAATTAATTAAAATCTAAGAGGTTTTTTTTTAAACAATCAACAACATATCGATGGTGACGAGGCAAAAGGGTCTAAGCGACACTTTGGGTCTAAGCAACACGGCTTATACTATTGGTTAGAAAAATATATTATAATTCATATTTATTATAATATAATTATATGATTGAAAAATTCCCAATTCTTACTAAAAAAAATTATTGGGAACTTAGAAAAAAAAAATAGTAAAATCACAAAAAGAACGTTTAGTGGCCATCATGAAAACTATGAAATATGTCGCTTAGACCCTTTTGCCGTGTCACCATCGATATTATACCTATTATTGGTTAATTTTATGAATAGAATCTATTAATTAAAAATCACGTGTGATATGTACATCTATATTATTCTATTTTTTTTTTAATAAATATTTATTATAAATTTAAAGAAAAAAAAATTAAAATAAATATGAATCTACCACCTTTAAGCTATGCTTGTGTTGGTGGCAGAGAGTTACAATTTATATCACTTAAATTAACTGATTAAATTAACAATCCAAAAATATAAACACAATTTTAGATAGTTAGAATATAAAAATAGAATATACAATACGCAGATATTAATCTAATAATGTGAATAACCAATTAACAATTATTTTATTGCGATTAAAATGTTTAAGATTCTTGTAGTTAGTGTGTATATTATTTTTAATATTAATAGGCAATGTGTTGAAATATGTAGGACCAAGATAATCAACAAATTTTTGACCAAATAATTTATTAATATAAGTAACTTTTGCATTATATGCTCTATTTTCCCTTTAATCAAATATGCTTTCTGCATCGCCCCATAAGTTATATGTTAGTCATAAGTTTTTTATTATAATAAAAATTGAGATTTTTTATATAATTTCTCTATCGGTAAAACATTTAATAATTTAAAGTTATCGATAGTTGATCCTTCTAAGTTATGCTTATTAAGACAGATCCTGATTATTTGCCTTTGCTGTATTATGAGTGGCCGTAATGCGTTTTTGGCTGTACCGCCCCAAACCAACAGACCGTATTGTAGAATCATAGAAATAATAGTATATTATACTTATCCTTATATTATATATATAAAAATCTCGAGTCACGATGTTTGTTAGCGATGAACTCCGAAACTACTTAACTGATCTTGATAAAATTGTTCACAGTGTGTGTAATTTGGTCCAACTCGAGAGAAAGGATAGGTTAAATAGGAAAAATTGGAAAAGATGCCCGGTAAAATAGAAAAATTTAATATTTTAGTGAAAGTTTATTCCAATAGATGGCGCTACGTAAACAAATTTCAGTGAAATAGATGGACGGTTGACAGCAGATCATATATTTTATTCATCGTTTCTGGCCAAAAATGCCATGTTTTCACATTTCACATTTTAATATTTTATAGTTGCCTATTTTAGTCTTCGATAGATTACCACCTTGACTGTAACATTTCAACATTTTAACGTGTAAGTATTACTTGCTTGCTTCTCATTTTATTATTCCGATTGTTTTAATTATTATTTTCAGTAAAATTCCGTGCGAAGCCGGGTACGCGGGCACTAGTATATATATATAAATATATATATATATATATATATTTAACTGGCACAAAATTATAACATTTTAAACAAAATACAGAATACTATACAATTTTAATTACTCTAAACTACGCTTTTAGACTGTTTATTATGTTTCTGTAACTGCCTACGATTTTTGGTTTGCTATAACAATAGTGTCAACTTACAACATTGTCCCTGTTAAAGTCCAACGGATACCGGGCGTCTAATCGGAACAATTCTTTGTCAATCAATCCCAAATAGGCTAAGGCCGCTTCTCGGTCCAACTGTAAAATACACCAATAAATAAAAAATTAGTCGACCAACGGTAATAGCATAAATACTATGGCGGTGTTATCATAGAATGTGTAATAATTAGGTATTAAATCAAGTGAGTAAAATATTAAATTATTCGAATATTGGTTGCAGCCAACGTATTAAGCTTTCGAAACCAACATATTATCGTTATTTGAACAAATTGAACCCCTCTTCGACGGAATACTTATTAGATTTAATTTTAGAAAATGCCTAAATATTACTCAAAAAATTGTTTTCTTTTTTATATATATTTTGGCGTATATTCTTCTTAGTCAAGCTTATAGTTTAAGTGTTGTGAAGCATCGTTTAGATCATTATTACATATTGCTCTATAAAAATAATATTCTAAGGTAGGTGAATCTAAGTAGCATTGATGCAAGTGCACCAACGATAGCAGCTGTAGTAGGTCAAATCGCTAATCGATACACGGGCGGCTGGAAAGTAGGTAGTAGGGTAAAAATATTACTTTAACACTTGTAGCTTGAACTGTCTCTGAGTATATTAAAACATCAAGTGTTGTTTGCAGAGTTTTTAAAACAAATAATATTAATAACTATAACATTAAATATTATCACAAATTAAAAATAATTAACGGTAATAATATGATATTATATTTAAAACAAATTTTAGCTATATAAAATTTACAAAAAAAAAGAACAATTATTTTAACATCAAAAAATAAGTTTTATTCGCGTTAACCTATATTTCCTTTAAAAAGTTAACGGTAAGCTATATGAGAGCTTTGAGCTTTTTAGAGTTGGATATGATACTCAAGACAGTCAACTTGTTAAGCTGTAAGTTATTTATTTTGTAATACGCGTAGGTTGATTAAACAAGTCCTATTGATTTGACATATTTTTTTTAAAGACAAATTAACTCGATAGTTTTTCTTACTGTAATTAAATCGGTCATAGTTTTTTTTAATAAGAATAATCTGAAATTACCACGCCCGTTACATCAAACGTGATTGCGGTCCGAATATTGACTGACAAGCAATTTCCAGTTCATAATTACTATGCTATGTATGTCTTTATTCAGGATCTACAATTATCTATGTATTCTAATTAATACCTCTTGTCGTTTAGACTGTGTCTCCGGTTATTTTGGAACACGGATGAGCTTGCCTTTAGGCTACCGCATGTGATTATGACAAACAGATTATGCACATTCATAATATTATGCCTATTTATAGTACAAAGGCGGCACACCGGGGCGCTGACCCGATGATAAACATTATTGATATTAATGATTCGATAAATTAGATTATTATTTTTTAATTAACTCAATTGTTTTGAAGTCTGGCGAACGAGTAAGCTACCAGATATTTTTTGCTTACTATGCTGCTAACGGCGAACATCTGAACCAACGTTTTTTTTTCTTATGTAATAAATATTATCTGTTTTACCTGGTGATTAATCAAGGAATTTGTCGGAAAATAACAAATCATTATCGGTACAACGAATTCTTAAATTTAACAATTGATTATCCTTATTTTCCGTCTTTACACGTTGTTCGACTTAAGATACAAAATATTATACTAGGAGGATACCCCACATGCATTTGTTGTATGGTATAAAAACACGAATTGGCTTTCTTGATACAGCTCTTTCAAAATTTGGCTTCCAGTAAAGTTACTTATATCATCTGAAAGTTAAAAACTTTTTCTATGTCGTCTTGACGAGTATAAACACAACTAGTTTTTTATTTAAATAAAGGTAAAACAAATATTTATTAAGCAATTATTTTGGTTTTAATAATCGAGTTATTGTAAAAACCTCGTCAAGCGATACATATAAAGTTCTTAACTTTCAAGTGATATAAGTAACTAATCTGTCGGACAATTTTTTCTCAAAATTGTTTTTTAAATCTCTGTCAATGATGCTATCATTAAGAGTACTAATTACTGAACTAATAATTACACATCATGGTTTAACCTTTAAGCTAAGATTTAGTAAAAAATTGCCTATACTTTACTCCTTAAAATTAGCGGAGTGGCGTCCTCTTAATTATATGTACTTTGTTTCTTTAATATAAATCGGTTTTTAATCAGTATAATCATTTTAAGATCTTTATATATTCATACGTTAAAATATGGTTTTACTTCGTAAAATCCATACACTAAAATAAAGATTGTAACCAACACAAACGTTAAGCAAAATTCGTCTTGTAACAGACTCGACTCGTTGGTTGAATGCTGACAAAAGGACTTAAGAGAATTTACCTTTCCTACGCAAAACGCTGCAAAAGAAAAATCCATTCTCTTGTTCGCCTTTAAAACATAACTTTTTAAGTTGTTTTTATTTCAATTGCTACTCCGCTTTTCTGAGAAAATACTAGAACTATTATTACATTCGGCGAAAATAGTATGAAATGCTTTTTAAACGAAATTAATATAACAATAAAAAACTTTAGGCCCCAAGTGGTACTTGTTAAAGTTTAATAACTAATTCATTGTAAGCATGGTATGGGCGAATATAAAAGAATATAGTTTTAGTCAACATTTTTATTAACTTGCCTAAAGGAACGTCACTAAAAATATGTATTTTGAGCGATATAGATTTTTGTTTTTATATTGCCCCTAGTAGAGCAAGAGTTGTCCAAAATGACCTAACAGTTCGTAGACTAAAAGCATAATATATATGTGGAAAAAATTTTATATTTTTCATACCACTTTTTTTTATTTCACATTTTCATTTAATTGTTTCATTCGTTTGATCGAATTACATTTTCGAATAATTAGGTCGAAACCAAAATATTATTATACTAGGTTATATTTTTTTATGTATAAATTAACGAAAACAGTAAAAAAATTGAGGGAAATTATATAACAATATCCCGTTGTGATTATCCCAATCACAACAGTAAACTGAAATTAAATCCGAAACCTTATTGTCTCTCTTGTAACTTCTGGGTAGGTATTATAGCTTTCAAAAAATGTGTTAAATATTTTATTACTCAACAGCACATTTGAACATTTACAATCAAAAAATATCCTTGGTAATTTAAGTTAATTAAATCGCGATAATGCTCAACTTAAACGTTTTACCTGGATCTAAAGAATAATTAATAATTAAAAATCTCTAAACACCTTTGTATACTTTCGTGTGTCGTTTGCCTTTTCGTTTAATTTGATATACCATTTTTTTTAAATATGACTTAGTTATATATATATATATATTATAAATTATATTAGAGTTAATAAGCCCAACCGGTTTTTTATCATGGTAATTCTGGTGAAATATCTGGAATTTACACGAAATAGTATAATGCGACATAAGCCTTGAGGTAAAGTTTAGACAGCTGTACCGAGCTAACAAGACAACATTTGTACATATCAATTTATTCCTGTCCTGACAGAGACAGGTTTTATTTTATTATATTTTTTTATTACCAAGCACGACGTTCAGCCGAGTTGTCGTTATTGTTGCAATTAATATTCGAGAAACGGCTGGAAATTATTCAACGACAAAACCACATGGCACCTAAAAGTTACCATTAAAACTGACATGTAAAGTTTCAAACTTTTTGCGTAAACGAAGTGGCGAGCTGGTTTTGTTTGAAACAACGGATTTTCCGACTTGAGAAAAAAAAACTTATATGTGCTTAAAGGCTTTCGATGCAACCTAAGAATGTATGATATAGGTACACGTTCGCAGAGAATCAGAAAAAACTTCTTTTGTAAGAAATAAAAAAGTATTACAGTAATTTAATTTTGAATTTGCGACACTAATGGATACTATGGTTTTACTGATACGCCCGCCAAAGAGTTATATTTTCCAAATTAATGGCCTATTTTGTATTTACAACTGAAAAAATAAATATATTTTAACTCACAGTTTGATAAAGGTAAACTTCACTTGGTAAAGGTGAGTACAGGGGTAAAATTTATAGGAAAACGTCATTAAGGGGATTGCATGCATTAAAGGGTTTTTAATGAGTTTTGTATAGGCAATAATTAAAAAAAAAATGTGGTTTTAATAAATTTCGAACATGTTGTAAATTTGTATAAGCTTCGAGGTATTATTTTTTAATTTATATACATTTTTACTATGAATAAAAATGTATTTTGGCCTTTTTTTAATCAAAAATCTAGACAAAAATTCGACTACTCAGTCCGACTACTATCCTTAATACAATTTCAATTCTGTAAAGAGATTCGAGTTCTTTGGGTACTTTACAATGTTATGTAAAAAGTCGATTTTCATTTCAAAAATTCAGTTTCCTGAATAAATTATACTTGCAATTTTTTCAATATTAAATCCTATAAGATACGCTATAAAATCGAATTAACCTAAACGCTAACGTTTGGAGTGAACGGATCAATTCAAATATTAATTTTTAAGCATAAAATAAAAAACGGGCAAACGTATTATTATACGAACGATTCGTCCGCGTTTTGCAAGCATATTTTTGCCCGCGTAAGGTTATTTATGGTTATTGCATACATGATTAATACTTGATATATGTGTACACATCCTGTATTTTCAAGCACCGTGTCTACGGGTGGGTAGGTATACCCTAATTGTAATCAATCATTTGACCGATGCAATCTCCTCGTTATGGCTGTTTTGTGTTGTTTGTATAATTTATAATATAGACTACCGATTTGTTATTTTAATAACATATTGTAATATATTAATAAATGTTATTTTGTTGAATGGTTATTTTTACCCCGTCGCGTCGATGTAAATTAATAATAATAATAATAAGTTAATGTCTTTTAAATAATAATATTGTGCGAACATCATTTTTTAATTTAATTACCATGAATATGTTATTGGCTGGGTACAAGCAATTCCATGTCGCCATTTTCGCGTTACACTTTCACTTTCAGTTAGAGATAAGAAATTAGATATACGCGATAAGAGATAAATGATAAATGATAAGAGATTACATATCCTCGATTAATTAATGTTTTTCCGCGGAGCGGAGAAAATGACTAGATTTTTTTCATTTCACACTCACCCTTCCGTCTTGAATGAGTTTCTCGATGGCTTGCGTGACTGACTTGTCGTCCTTGGTGAAGAAAATATATGCGGCCATTTCCTCGGGGGACGCTTCCGGGTCCAAAGATGTTGTGTAGTCCTGAAATCGAAGTTCGAAACTTAATTAGTACCTTGTGGCATGTGGTGATAATAAAATTTGATAGTATAACATTGTTTTGTGCGGCAAGTCCTTACAGAGTATTTCTTGTAGCCGAAACGCTTGGTAGCCCATTTCCGAGGTTCTTCGTCTGACTTATACGAGGTCTGCTTGTGTATACCTTTGTTCGGTATATCGACGGACATTTGGACTTTGGTGTCCGGACGACCGCCCGTTTCTTGGTCGTTTTGCGACAAAACTTTTTGTTCTAGTTTTGCCAACAGTTCTCCATTTTTATTTACTACAAAAAAGCAAAACATAAAACACAGTTGTGATTTATTATACAACGCCGTTAGGGTAGTTAATCAGCTTAATATATATTTTAGCTTCAAACTGATAATACTCCTTATCTGTATTACCGGCAAAAAAGTTAGTAACTCAATTGTTAATTTTACATTATAACATTATGACTTTTAAAATGCTTCTGTCGATTTTTGTATTGCTACCATCTACAGATTCGCATCGAAGCGTTTTATTGAAAGTGATTTTATCATCACTTTCAGTTATAATAATTCCTGTACACCAGTGACATCTCCCGCCCCAATATGCTTTGGCCCCATTATGTCCCCTACCCCATCGTACTGGTTTTTTTCTGATTTTTTTTTTAAACCTTGAGTTTATAACGAGGTAAACATAAAGTAAAAATATTATATAATATTATACTATTACATTTTACATCTTCAATATGTATTTATATATATACCGTTATTTAAAGACATGTATAAATTTACTTTCGTTTTTTAGAGCCCGTGAAGGTATTCGAATAAAATATGCAATTTAGGTTTATAAAAAAAGAAATGTACTATATTGAACTCGTGTGCCCTTGAAAAGGGACATTATATAATATATTTTCTCGAATAATAACAATAATAATTCATCGTACCCGAGAAGGTACTTCGAATCCATTCTTTAATATTTCCCAAAAATATACTTTAGTGAATGATATGATACTACACTCTATCTGACATTTTACTCGAATGTAACAAAAGTAATATTATCTCTCAAACAATCTCAAACATCAGCTTTTGACGGTTCAAGTTGGCACAAAGCGTAGAACAAACTAAATGTTTGTTGAGAAAACAATTGGACGCTATAATTTTTTAGAGAAACTTACTAAGTACGCGAAACATGTGTTGATATTTTAGTTTGGTTACTGAACATACGGTTTTTTAGATAGTAAACTATTTTAAAACATTCACCTTGTTGTTGAATTTTCGCTATAGCTTTTTCTTTGCCGTTTTTGTTTGTGTACAACGATTCGTGCGACTTGACCACCGACACCGACTCGCCCTGGCCTGTTAATCCACAGCATGATTAAAGGTATGAAGATTTTTATTTGTAATACAAATGTCTAATATATTTAGCAAAACACCTACCTGGAGGTATTTTTAATTTTTCTAATTCTTGCACATCCTGGTCGATGGTCTGTAATAATATAATAAATAATCTTTCAGGTTAACATATTAGATAAATACAAAAAACTAAAAAGGGTATACTGCATAACAAAAGTGTTGAATAGGTAAAATAGCTGTCAAGAAACTGTCATAATGTAGTAGGCACTTAAAATGGAAATAAAGATTTTATATAATTTAGAAACCAGTTATTTAGTCATCAAATTACACTTGACTATCCGGGAAAACCTCTAACTATTAATTTTCAGTTACATTGCAGAGTACAATAAGATTGCATATTAAATGGCTATTGTCTAGTGATAAAAAACATCTCAAATCAACAAATGCAACTTAAAAGTATAGCAAACGATCAATTTTTTTTTTTTTTAGTTAAAACGACCTTTCTCAGTTCAATACTCTACCAATCGCTTAGATGGTATGATATAAATTTCAAGGACAGATCTACTTTCTCACTTTTGTTATTGGACCTACAATTTTTCTGTTGGGTTCAACGAAATGTAAAAAAATAAAATTACTAAAACTAAATGATGGATGACGCTTATTCAAATCAACAAACGAGTGAGAACTTCAAATTTGTTTTGGAATTTCATTACAAATAGGTAAATGTAAATAGTTATTATAACAATAAATTAACGATTGACAATTAGTAATCAATTCCACGGTTCGTTTATTTTTATTATATAATATATATATATAATATTATAATTTATTACATTATTCTAACAAAGCTTTTAACAATGCTTTATTTAATGCACTACTAAATTTCTAATTATTATTAACCCATTAACGCCCGTAACTATTTTTTTTGCTGAGTCCCAAAAAGGGATCTCCGAGCGTTAATAGGTTAATTTTTAATTTTTTTATTAACACACTTACCCTCGCAACTTCATTTTTAAACTCTGTTCCTTGTGGAATATCTAAAAACACAAATAAGATACATTATACTCATATTTTTCAGCATAAACTGTAAACATACTATATGGCATTTGTTGCATAGATACATTATGACATTTAACGCAAAACAACTGGGAGAGAGTTTTCCTTAACGACAAAAAAATCGATACTACATTATTTTGAAGTAGCGTGGACTGAAAAACTCAAATATAGCATTATTGATGCCGCATTAATATATATAACTTCAGTCGATAAACATTTTTTTTGGTAGTATAAAGTTTGGATTATGTGAGTTTTGACGCCAAAAGGTAAAAAATCAGATTTTCTATTTTGTTGGATTTCAAATAGGTTTTTTAGGTGACTCATCTCGTGTAATGAGCAAAACACACTTAACAGTGTGTACAAGTTTTTAATTTAAAATTAAAATGTATTGTTATATTTTAAAATAAACATTTTGTATACAAAAAAACCATTCAGTGACAACCACGGTAAAATATAATTGGTCTGATCATGTTCTGATCATTGGTCTGGAAAGCGTTTATCATAATAATTTATATAAAAAAAATGGTGAAACATAACGATTATGTCAATGACGTTTGATAACTGCAGCAATGATTCGGGTCAAAAATAGTTCAGTACTTAAACTTCTCATGGTCAATTGGAACTTGTTGATTTTTATTCTAACCACTAGGTTCGAGGATACATATTGGATGCACATGTTCTTTTGCGTTTTCCAAATATCTGATAACACATTCGAATTCAGCGTCAAAAATCCTATAAGGCAGTGGTGCTCAGAGATTTTCTCATTTTTTCGACCACGTGAGTTTCGACTCTAGCCTATCCGTTGTTTGATTGTAAAAATCACGTTAAACGAAATAAGTAATTAAGTCTTAATTGTAAGGCGGTGTAAACGTGCGCCCTATTAAACACGGTTTATATACAGTTTACTCAATGCGCGGTTGTTATATATAGGTAGGTACGGAAAGACGACAAAGCAATTTCATTAAATCCGTCGGCTGTAATTGGATCAGACCGAATTTCGATTTAAATTGAATACCGTACACCGTACTTGGAAAACAACTCCGAACGTACTGTGTAAGACTAATGGAAGAGAAAAACGACTTGGCCAATAGAAGTGCATTTTTGCGAATGTTGTTTAAACCGCTCTGAGATTCGTGATTTTTATTCTATATTATACACCCTTATTGGCCATATATGTATAGGGCAACAAGTTTTCACACTTGGTCACGCTGCAGGACGTGTTCGCTCAGGTTTTTATTGTTTTTGGGCAAAGGGAAAAACATAATACAATACATAATATCCAAACCCCGTACTCGACCGTTAGACCGCCCACGCGGTTTAAAAGATAAATTAATTTAAAACCGTCCGGGCCGGGCAAAAAATATGATGTTCTACGTGACTGCGCTCGACCCGTCGGTTATAATAATTATTTTTATCGGTGCGGTAGCAAAAAAAAAAGATTATAGAATTGAATTTTATTAAAAAAAAAAATAGAAAACACCGAAAAGCTAAAAAAATTGAAATATATTTTTACTCCTGCCGCGTTTCACCGTTAAAACGCAATATGTACTGCACGTGAAAAACAATTTCAACAGTGGTCTGCGTTATGACAAGTTTTTGTTCAGAGGTAGGGTTGTTAAATTCGTGGACACACTTAATTTCACATTCGACCCGACTGCACAAAGTCTAGTCGAGTTGAATTTATTTAATTACTTGAATTTTTATCCGATTCGATATTCAATGGGATCAATTGAAAATTAAAAAAAATTGTATGCCATTCTGAGACGATTGTCCTTTTAAAAAAACTATTCTGTCATCAAACGCTAGTTTTAAAAAGTAACCGTTTCGTACGAAGTATGGGTGTGCAAAGAATAGAATACTATAGGAGACGAATGTTGATGGAAATATAGAGACGAATAGCAATCGAAAAGTAATAGAGAAAACAAATTAAAAATGTAACAACTAAGTTAGTTGACCGATGGAAAACGGCCAAGAGCTCTGAAAGGTAGCGGCAATCAATAGATTAGGTTAGGTAGATACTAGTGAACGGATCTGATTGAAGAGAACAAGACAAAGGGACTATAATAAATTAGTGGCGGAGTAAGATTGGCAAATTAAATGAGGTAAAACAATTTATTGTTGTTGACGTCAATGTTAAGATAATTAAAAACGCATTATAATCATTTATTCGTCGTTATAAATTTATACTGTAATATATTTTATGAGTACGGGCCAACACCAGTAAAATCTTTAGTATTTTAAACAGTTTGTTAAAAAAAATCGTTCGCACAGTAATTATTATGTTTATTCATTTTCGTTTTATAGTACAAATTTAATAGTGTACTTGGTTTGGTTATTTTGAATAATATTGACGCTGGTATAGAATGACTTCGATTAAGTGAGGCGACCTAGTTTAAAATCCAGCTTAAATACATTTTGAAAATGTTAAAACACAGTGTATTACTCGGTATGTAAAACTATTATTGAATACCAAATAAAGATTACAACTATCTCAAACTGTGTTGGGAAAATGTTGGTTGGTTTCAAAATGGGTCATCTGAAGAAATTATGTGTTATCGGTGAAAATGTTCAAAAATTGCTTTTAGCTGGTTTTACTGTTTGGCTACTTGTATTGGCTTTGTAGATGTCTCGAGTACGCCATACATGTTACTCCGACCATTGCCGGTCGTTAACACATTTTATATTCATAGTTTAAGTATCTATTAATAGAACTTTCCAACCGACTGCATAATATTCATATAAAGTCCACAATAATAGCTCGCTTCACGTTTGCCACTAAATGCATACACGGACGGTAGTCGGTATGACGCATTTGAAAAAAAGAACCTAATGGTTGTGTTGTGTATTTTTTTTTTCAATTTCATAATTCGTTTTATAGTGAACGCGCAATTTTTTTATCTAAACGCATTTAACAATTTTAACAACTACCTGCCATTTTTTCTCTCTAAATCTCTCAACAGGAAATAAAGCTCCGGGAGTAGACAATATACCTATAGAACTCATCCAAAATTTAGGGGAAACAGTTAAAGAAGAGCTATTCAAACTTGTGAAGGAAATATATGAATTAAGAGTCATCCCTGAAGACTTCCAGAAAAGTATTATCATTACAATACCAAAAAAGGCAACCGCTGACAAATGCGACGACTTCCGTACACTAAGCCTTATGGCACACGCAGCAAAAATACTAGTAAAAGTAGTATGTAAAAGAATGGAAAATAAAATCGAAGAGCAACTAGGGTGTGACCAGTATGGCTTTAGAAAGAATAAAGGGACAAGAGAAGCAATATTAAGTCTCAGAATACTATTAGAGAAGCAGTTAGAACTGGATAAGGACACGCTAATTGCCTTTGTGGACCTAGAAAAGGAATTTAATAGATAAAGTGAGCTGGCAAAAGTTATTCCAGACTCTACAGCAAGTAGGAGTGGATTACAAGGATAGGCAATTAATATACAATTTTTACAGACAGCAGAAATAAGTATAGAAAACAAATCTGCAACAGCAAAAATACGAAAAGGCACTAGACAAGGGTGTCCCATGTCACCAATGTTGTTTAATGTATATGTCGAACGACCAATCCAAGAAATAAAGAAAACGCTCAATAAACGAAAAATAGGAGTGACGGTCGGAGGAGAACTTATACAAATGCTTAGGTTTGCTGACGACATTGCTTTAATAACCAAAAACGAAAAAGAGATGGAAACTGCATTAGAAGTGATGCAGAAGTGTTTTGAAGAATACGCCCTGAAATAACTAAATAAACTAAGGTTATGATATGCCAAAAATCACAACAAAGACAAAGACTCCAAATCCGAGTGGGAAATAACTATATAGAACAAGTAAACAGCTATAAATACCTAGGCAGTTTAATCACCTAGGATGGAAAGTCCACTAAGGAAATTAGAGCTAGGATAGCGCAAGCGAAAATCGCATTTATGAACCGCAAGAAATTACTATGCTCCAAGAAAATGAGTATCCATATGAGAAAACGACTAGTTAAAGTGTTTGTGTGGAGCGTGGCTCTATACGGGTCAGAGTCCTGGGTGATAAACAAAGCAGAAGAAAGATATTTAGAAAGCTTCGAAATGTGTTGCTGGCGGAGGATGCTAAGAGTTGGCTAGACTGAGTTCCGTACCAATGACAGTGTACTTAATGAAATAGGTGAACCTGGAGGATTATTAAGATCAATCAAAGAAAGATGATGGAGACTAATTGGACATACTTTAAGACACGAGGAGGAACTACACCACAGAATATTGGAAGGACAAATAGAAGGCAAGAGATATCATATCCACGATTCAATTTTTTTCCGTGGAGCGGAGAAAATAACTAGGTTTTTTTTATTTGTCTCAAATAAAGTTTTTAATTAATGTGTTTGTTACTTTTAAAAAAATCAACTGACAAGTACAACGATAATAAATTCTCGTAAACAAACATCGTTGAAACTCGTTTTTGGCAAAATATGTTTCAGTTAGATTGACACGACAAAGGTACGTGGCCTTTGTCGAGGTACAACAAAAGCAGTAAAGTTATAAAACGTGTTATACTACGGTCTCGGTATGCTGTAACGGGCTGTTTGAGTTATTTATTATCCTTGTAAAAGAAACGCGTACCATCCGTGTCATGAACGTTTCAAACTGACAAAAAGTCTATCCAAAGTCCGGAGTAGTTAGAAAAGTAATATATCCGACAGTTTTGTAACAAAAAAAAACCGCCTCTATTATATCATGCATCGCACTAAACGTATTGATGTATCACATTCGAGTATACTATAATATATATTATATAGTATAACAAAAAAAGAGTCACAAACAAAATGGTTATTAGAAACTTGCAAGACTAAAAATAGTTGCTTTCTCAAAGAATCTTTTTTGGTCGAATTTTCGATTTTATTTATTACTTATTTCATTTCGACTTGGGCCTAACCTGACTGCTTAAAGTGATATAATATTAACACGGGAGAATGGCTGAATTTAGTAGGTT